TCTTGCAACAGTTTCACTTGTTTCAGAAGAAGAGGATTTAAAGGCTCACTACTTACAGACTTCTTAAGATAAAATATTTTATTATTATTTCACTTGGATCATTCCTTATTGAAGGTGGAGCGATTCTGGACTTCAGAATAGTGTGTCTGTGTATGATGAAAGTCTGGTGAAATTGCAGTCCCTACAGCCTTTTCAGTTTCATATCCCTCTGTTGCTGCTCAAAATTCTGTTGTTATTGTGTGGGGAGGAAAAACTGTGGAAAAGTATGCTGATGAATTATGCATCTCCATTACAGACGATCATTCCAGGATCACCTTGAAAGCGGAGAATAACCACGGCAACTCAGATTACATCAATGCAAGTCCAATAGTGAGTATTGTTTATTCATTTTAGCTCTACGTTGTGGTTAATATCTGTTGTCTCTGAAGTCTTTTTTGTAGCTGGAGCACCTGTTGTGGTTGGATTTTACTTTGAGATAAAAGAAGTTTCAAAGGACTCATTGATTCAAGTGCATTGATCTTTTTTTTTTAAACTTTGTTCTCCATGGTGGGAGCCTCAGTGGATTCAGCGTGTCTTGCTGAATCACACTGCTACTTTTACTACTTTCAAAATGGCCGCTCCCTGGAGATAAACCTTTTTTTTTCCATCCACACTAAAAAGAATTATACATTATTTTTGACTAAGCAAATGTATCCCGCCACAAATCCAGAAAGACCTCGGTGTTGGAGAGGGCTATGGGTTTTTTTTGTTTGTTTTTTGCATTTTTCCCAAAAACATTGCCAGTCATGATTTCCCCTGAGGCTGCTGAAAAGGGATTCCATCAAAGGGAACAGGAAACTATGCATTTCAAATACAGTGCCAAAATTTCTGAGGAGATAGATGAGTGGGGCACACACAGCTGCACTAAAAGCCTATTTCTCTTCAGAAACAAACAATAGAGACTTTTAGATGCTCTATTTATTCCTCCATTTTCTCTAATGGCATATTCATAGAGGTTTTTAGCTTATTTAAACAGTGCTGTAGTGCAACATTTGCCATCTTATGGAATAATATTATAATAAACATAATCAATCAGAGGAAGAAGTTAGAAAAAAGCAGATTGGTGCATTAGGAAAAGGGTATGAAGTAAAGTTATCCAAGACTGTTTTGGTGCAGTTAAAAAAAAGAAAACATCTAGAAACACAAACGGATGTTGAAGATGGGTGAAGTAATGGCGGATGCAGTGGTGTGTGGATGAAAGGACAGTAATTACACCACAAAAGGGACCCCTGGCTGAGCCCAGCAAAACTGTGATAATTATGTCTGTCAATGCGGCTTCTTCCTCCTCATTAGCTTCAGGGGCAGTGGCCTACGGGTAAATAATCTGTCGCTTCTTTCTGGGAATCCGGGGTCAGAGAGGCAAAGGGAAGGAGCTGCCTGCATAGCAGAGGGTGACACACACACAGGGAAAAGCTGGGATAATGGTAAATGCTTGACCACAAATGATGCAAGCCCTCCCAGATGTACGGCATTATTAGCGTGGGGAATTTGCGGTGGCACAAAATGTGGTCAAAGCCCTGTTGTCTTTGTCTCATCTGGCCTTTTTTACTTTTCAAAGTCAAACACTGTGTGCCTTTTTCCATTTCCCACCTGTTCTCCATGCTTTTGTTTCTGAACTTTCTGGGATGAGCTCAAGCCGGCGTGTAGCTTCCGAGCTCTCTATCTTACATAAACACAGGATCAAGGCGCTACAGCAAGGTGTTGAAAGTTGGGACGCTTCTCCAGGAGCAGATATTTGTGCAAGCTATTTTAGTACAAGCTATTTTACTTCAAACCAAAGAGCACTTTCTTGCATTTTTGTTGTAGTCTATCTTCTTCCCACAATGGCATGGGAGGACAGCTGAATCGCAGGACTACTCTTTCATGTTTGCGCTTTAGTATTCATGCAGGGATGTCAACACACAGCTACAGCATGTCTGTGTCCTTGAGATTGGCTAAACGGAGTGGCAGCACCAGCACCACCGTTTCATTTCTGTGGGGGAGATTTTTTTTTTTTAACAAACCCATGAGAGGAATTTCAACCAGAAAGGATGAAGAGAAAATTGAACAACATGGTTATACCTAATTGAAGTAGAACAGTGGGTAATGAACATAACATTTCCCGCATTTATGGTTCCTTTTGGGAAATTTCTTCAATAGAAAGGCAGTCATATTGTCAAATTTCAGCCAGCCCTTGTGTATTTATTCATTTTCACCTATGTATCACTTCTGCCCCCCAATGATGATTTTGCTCCCCACAATGAATACTGACATCCTGCCTGACATCTCATAGACACTTGATACAGATAATGACTTTAAATCATACCATTGATATGATCAAATTTGAACCTGCATCTTTAAGTATTTCACTGCTAAATGCTATAAAAGAAATCTCCAAATTAAAAAATAATTAACAGTACTAGGGATGATATTCAACAGTGCGAGTGTCCCATTAAACTGAACACAATAGTCTGTTTCTACTGAGCTTTACTTGTAATTACATCACCGTTTGGAAGTAAATTTAAAAGAGAAAACAATTTGACAATTTTAATCCCCCATAATGAAAATAAATTACAAAGAGACAAAGAGATAAATAATAAAGAAATTGATTTTTTTAATTTAAGATTTCGGACTAAAGTTGTATGTTCGGTTTTATTAGCCGTTCGGAGCATTATGAATTAATCCTGTTGTTGAGGTTATTAAACATGAGGAGAGAAAAGCATTATGGTAATATTAAAGCCATGAAGAAATGCTCCATAATTAAGGTCTGTGAGTTTGACAAATGAGTCAAAGAAAAACACAAAGACATGAAATGAAAAAACTGGATGTTAAACTTCTAAGCTCATGTTCTGTGGCCTTCAGAGTGAAAAAAACAAGTTCATGAAGAATGAAAAAAAACTTTCAGTGCCTTACTGTCATGGTGTTTCTTGATGTTATGCTCAGAGATGTCTCCTTCCCTAAATCACTCTGTTACAATTAGAGAATATGCTGCAAAAAAACTCCATTTCCATTGGCAGAAGTCAGTCAATGGCAGATTAAAATGCAAGGAATTGAGTCAGTCACACCTTAATATTATACTATATACTACTGCATTTTCCTCATATAATACTATATTTGATAGGTGACCCATAAATAATAGACGAAAATACAGCCCTGTCTGTCGTCTATCATTATAATGCCCAACATACATCAAGAATACATTGAATATGTACCCACCCGTTTCTTTTCCTTCGAAATATGTCAACATCTTTCCACTGATGCATCTCACACTCGAGGGTGTGCATAAAAATTCCATTCAATAAAATGTGATCATTGATTTTGGGGGGCGACCCAGCCAACACCTACTCAATCAAGTCCCTCAAATCAAGTCCCCCATGTCATTATGTCCCACCTCAACATTTCAGCTCCCTCACATTAGCCGCCTGCAGGCTTTAAAGTCCCACCACAATGTCATGTTTCATGCAGTAACATGTCAAACCATGACAGCAAATTGAGATCAGAAACCCATTTCATGAGTTCTTTGAGGACATTGTAGAGAAGACTGTACATGACATAACTGATGCAGAAGTGAAAACATTCCTGAGTGATGAGATAATGAATGGGAAACTAAAGTTAGTGTGTTTATTTTGAATAATAAAAGGGTTGGAAGTAAGATTTTAAGGTTCAAGGTTGAGCTTTTTTGTCATTATATAATTCGGATTGCACATTGTAGCTTTTTCCACACTACACTAAAATTGATAAAGAAATATTAAATTGAAATAGAATAAAACAATTAGCTCAAGTCAATTAATAGAAATCAAAAGGAAAAACAACATATTTACAATGAAAATATACAGTTATGTCTATATACATATGTAAACATATACACACAAAATGGTGTCTAATATGCAAGTTATAGTAGCAGATTTGTTTCTGCTGTCGAATAAGCACAAACATACTTTCACTATCAAACAGCTACAGCATCTTTTAGAGATTTGCACAGAAAATCAGTTAGCTTGTCGCATCCTTCCCATAAACACTAGAGGTGCCTGTTCCACAATCCAAGGTCTTGTTTAGCCTTTCTATGCAAACATAATGTTTAAAGAGGCTCATCTTTAACATTTCTTCACAAAAAATAATCTCAAGTGACAGGCATACAAACCACATCCTTCAAATATGTGTTCCAAGCTTATTTAGAGTAAATATGCATGATGCTCACAGTTTAACAATTATAGTGTGTAGTTTATTCCAGTTTAGTGTAATGAGACCTATTTAAAAAATAGTGAGATCTTGAGGACAGAAGGGACGTGACAAGGAGGAGAGAGAGAATCAATGAATGAAACTGAAAACAAGCACACAGCAGAGGCAAATGTTTTCTGCTCCCATTCCTCCATCCAGATGGAGGCTTTGATGGAAGTCTTTTTTTCCCCCCAAGCTTTGTATGTTTTCATCGACCAGTCTCCACCTGAACACTGTGTCACACTCTGATCCCTCTCTCCCAGATGGACCATGACCCTCGCAACCCTACTTACATCTCCTCGCAGGGCCCACTTCCTTCCACCGTGGCGGACTTCTGGCAGGTAATACTCATCTCCATTCACTGTGGTCTTTCATCTTTTACCGTTTTGTTTCTACGGAGATGAGGGTTTAGAAAAACCACAACAGAACTGCACTGTGTCTGACCCAATGTTTTTGTATGATTTGCCTATTCCTGTAGGATTCTGATGTATTTTTCTTAGTCCAACACGAGTGTCTAGATTACTATTTGCTTGACGTTTAAGCAATCTCAAAGTGGGATGAATTAAGTAATGTAGCACCAGTTTTTGTCTTTCATGTACTATCATTGCATTAGGTAAGCATTTGACTGTCCTTAAATGATCTATTTTGAAAAGCCCAGAAGGTCGTTTAACAACACTTGCCGCTGTTCTAATGGTATTTCCAGAATTTTCAAAAGCTGTAGTCATCTGGATGATGAAAATATTCCATCTGAAGCTGAAAAAAAACATATTATACCCCAGTCTTAAGTTTTAGATTAAGTGTGACTCACCCTTTCTGAGGATATCATTATCTTACCATCACAAATAAATTTCCATAAATTTGTTTTCATAAAAAACTTCTTAAACTTCATAAAATTCGTAAAACTCCAGCCTGTGAATCATCACGTTTTTAAATTTTTTTCTGTATCAAAGTAATCCAGTAATAGTTGCAAACAGGAACTACTAACAGCTAATTTGGCAAACCTTTAATGGTGACAATTTGCCAAAATGTAATAAAATACAGGCTATAAAAACAGGGCTCAAGTTCTAGCCTGCAGCATAACTCATTGAATGCATGGCAACATTATACTTGTTTCCATCCCCCAAATTGTGGAACTGTAGTTCCAAAATTTAGAGTCCGATAATCCCTCAAATAAAAAATTAATACTTGCCTCTGTGACTCAATACATGTCAGAGAGGCTTATACTGGGTCTAGGTGTAATAGTGCGTCTAATGTTCCTACTCATCAATACGACAGTGTCAATAGTTGAATATGTACAACAAACCTGCAGCATTTTGTTGTATATAGCAGTCAAGTTATGCACACCTCCAGGAAATGTAATATTATATTTAATAATGCTGATGTGTTATATTTGCATTTTTCTCAATGCTATTTGCATTCCTTCACATGTCCATAACTGTCAGACGAACATTCCATTAATCACTGGATGTAGGCTACTGTAAAGCATGTCATCTTGTGTGGACTATGCCTTAAATGATGCATGGTTGCCAAATGGCATTCTTATGCGTTAATAGGACAGCACTGTAGTAATTAGTGGGCCCATCACCTCCATATGGTGAAGTAACTCTGCTAGCCGTGACCAGGATGTAGAAGTGTGAAGCATAAATCCTGGCAGACCAGCTGGCCATGCACTCTGCACTCTGCATCATGTACTGAATGGATACTCATTTCGAATCATTATGATAGTGCTGACTTTGTGTTTAGGACAGACGTTGGCACCCGTTGGTGACTGGGGAAGGGTGGTAACGCAAAGTTTAGTCTGGTCTGGTTTAGTTCTCCGCACCTAAAGGAGCATAGTCTTTGGTTGTAGCTGTAAATCGTTTTTTAAAGCCAAAAAACAAATCTGCCTTTCATTAATTTGAAAAAAAAAGAGAAACATTCAGTACCTATTATCTAAAAAGTGTACCTTAATTGACTACATCAGTTCCAAAAGGAATAAAAGGAGCCCTGTTTATTGTATTTAATTTGTAAATTTAAAAGTGCCTTAAATGAAACAGTTGATAATTATCTCTTAGTCAATTTGGTTATTTGTTTGTTTGTCTGCCAATTTTTTCCTGTGCCAGGTGAATAAATGCATATCCATTATCTAATAAAATGGGCTATTTAGCCATGGACTCAACTCTAAATCTTAACCAATTAAGCAGAAAATAATGGAAAATTAGATGCAGGTTGACTGACACAATGAACATCAGTTCTGTGTCTGGGAATAAGAAGTAGCCATTCATTATTCAATATGGTTAAACTTGGATTGTGGTAGAAGAAAAAAAACACACTGTCCCCCCCCATTAAAAGTAAACAAACAGGGGAAACACTGCCACTCTCATGCAAATGGGCCGTGCAGGAGGCAAATCTTTTTGCTCTGTCCTATCTAATCCACACCAGCCCCAGGCAGCGCTCTGAAAGGCGGCTCTGCTCTAATCCTCCACTCCTCATTCCTCCATCCCTTCTTCATCCTTCGCTCCTCCATCCATCTCCCCTCCCTCCCTCCCTCCCTCCCTCCATCACCAGCTATTACCTTAGCTCTGCTGGGCCTTGCCTTTCCTGCTCACTTCTTCTGAAGATTTAAAAAAAAAAAGCCAATCAGCATGAGTTCACAGAGCAGCAACTCTATATATGTTTTCTTGTATCGTGCCTTCTTCTGTACAAATGATGTATAGCAGATGTATGTTTTTGGAGCCTAGTAATTGTTTATCGCATTAAAACAAGCCACAGATGACGTGCTCTTTTACGAGCTGAAGGTGGAAAATAGGAATGCACTTGCTCCTCCTTACCTGCAAATATTTGCAAAACCTGAGACTAAATGGATAATATTCCCTCACATTATCACCTTGCCTAATCTCATCACATCTTGGCACAGTTGGCGTGTAATGTGTCCACTGGGCTGGATCACAGAAGCTTGTGATTAGTGTATAGTCAAGGCCATTGTGTTTTTATAGCAATCATAAAAGCCACGTTTCCTCCTCATTTTCCTAATGGCTGCCGTGGGCCTGTATTTTTTTCCCGAGGACACATTAGATTGTGATAAGATGAAATGGAGCAGCAGCTCAGTAGATGTTATGATCTCGCTCAGACGACTGAGGGAGGGCGACACGTGACATGCCCTCCTGCTACTCCACCCAACATTTATTATTTGTCACACATGGAGAGGTGACATTTATTCATACTTCCTGGACCAAGATTAAGAAATCAATTTCACTCTAATACAAGGCTACCATGTAATGATAATGTGCAATATGCTGCTCCTAGTGGCGCAGTTCAGCTACATATTAGTGCTATTGGAACGTCATACAGATGAGTATTGAAGGGGAGGGTTTGACTCAGGATGTGTTTGAGGGATGTCTGACGTCTTTCCTCTGGTGTGTAGATGGTGTGGGAGAGCGGCTGCGTCGTTATCGTCATGTTGACCCCACTCTCTGAAAACGGGGTGAAGCAGTGTCATCACTACTGGCCCGACGAAGGATCTGATGTCTACCACATCTACGAGGTATGTCAGCGAGAGATAAAGGAGAAGTTACAAACCTCGGATGCTGTAAAGTTTAATCAGTTTGCTCAAAATACAAAAAAAAAACACACTTTTGTTCTTCTTTTAGCAGTGTCTAGCCATCCAGATAGTTTTGATTTTATGTTCTGAGGTAATGAGATTTCTGTCTCCAGCCCCATACAATGAAGATGAATTTAATTTTATTCGTGGTACTCACAGTGTTGCAAAATAACATTTAAAAGATGTGTATAATTCACAGACTTCACTGTGAGCAGTTCTCAGTGGAAATACTTTCTACCAAATAAAATAGTCCCTCTATAAAAGCTGTTGAGTAACAACAAGGACACTCTTTTTCAAATGTAACTTTTACAGACTTTCGGCTCCACAAACAAAATTCATTCACCTCTAATTTTATTTGCGGTGTTGGCAGAAGCCAAGTCTCCAAACATCTCTCTCTGTATTGAAGCTGCTCTTCAAAGTGTGTTGTATAACTACTAGTTTATTAGTATACATATAGTATTAGAGTCCACTGACCAATCAGGTCAAGGAGTCTAGAATGGCGACCCATAATGGTTTATCAATACATATACACTTCCATGCCACTTTATTAGTAGTATGTACAATTTAATCCAATACAATACTATTATTATATATTATTAATGTTAGTTAATACCTATCTGACAGTGTCAATCAAACCATAATTGTCTTTGAAAAGGTAGAATATGGCTGAGCTGTTGTTTACAGGTATTCTCACAGTTTCTCTTTTGATCAGAAAGACTTGTATGTCTGTGAACTGAATGAAACTAAAATATATGGTTAGTTAGGGAAACCGTTTTCTGGCCAGTGTTGATGCTAAAGCTACCTCAAGTTTATTGCTGCAGGTTGTAGCATGGTTATGAATTCATTTCTAGCCATGATTGCTGAAGATGTGATTGATTAACTGAATGCCATCCTTTGCTTTGCTTGATCTTTTTTCTATATTTCAGGTCAATTTGGTGTCAGAGCACATTTGGTGTGAGGACTTCCTGGTGCGGAGTTTCTATCTGAAGAACCTGCAGACCAATGAGACACGCACCGTCACCCAGTTCCACTTCCTGTCCTGGATGGACCGCGGGATCCCCAACTCGGCCAGGACTCTGTTAGACTTTCGCAGGTAAAGTGAAGGATCAGGCAGGTTGGCCTCAGACACTGGAGCTCAGCAGATTTCAGGCAGATTTCCACCTTTACAACTGGCCTTTATCCTGAGCTTGTTCTTAATCATCTTCCCTTATATTCTGTATTCTGTCAGCGCCTTTCTGGTCCGTCTCCCTTTTGCCCCTCTGCCTTTTGGTGTCCTAGAGAACGATTGTTCTAATAAGGACTGTGTTTCTGTACTATCCCTTTCATCCTGGGCCTTTTTCCCTCACCTCCCTCCAGCACATGTGATGCAGCAAATTAACAGCCCCGCACTGCCTGGCTTGGCTTGGGAAGAAAAGAAAAGAAAAAAAAAACAACCACCTAATTCAAACACCCAATTAAATGAGAGCTGTCTCACTAAAAACACGGGAGAGGGGGAAAGCTAGTGACTGAATAACCTCACTCTGTTCTCCATATAATGTGTTCTGGCAGAAGAGCAGAAATAGCTCCTCTGGGAGAACCCAGAGGGATAGGAAAAGCCCTCCAAATGAGAATAGATGCATCTGATTTGTGGATGGAAGTCTGTCCCTCTGGTTTGTAATGCAGATGAGAGAAAAAAAAAGAGGATGTGCAGTGTTATCATGTCATCCTTTCCTGACAGAGTCGCTGCTGTTTTTTTTTCTTCAATTAAACTGGGTGTAGCTTGCAGTCTGTTATATATTTATTTGTGATATTGGTGTGCAGGTTTGAGCTGTGTTTTGATTACATACATAAGTTTTCCTTTGCTGTTGAAATCTCCCTAACAACTAGATTGCCTTGATGTAACCCCCGTTAATGCTGCTGTAGGTTATTGGGAACCTAAAGCTCTCTGATTATGTGATTCAGAGGTCTCAGATCCACACGATGTACTGTACACTCACGGTTTTCACGGTTTCGGCCAACTTGGTATTTTGCGGTTGCCAGTGTCATTTTTGTGATGTTGCAGCTAGTAATATGAGCCCAGTTGCATAGTCACAAAAGTGATCATTGGAAACTGTGTCTCCTCAGCCAGGCCTGTGCACAAACTGTCTTTCTCTCACTCCTGACTCTCTGTCTCCCCCTCCTCCTCTCACTGCTCCTTCCTCTGGCTTGCATGGGAACTCCGATGATCTCTGTATGCTCTCTAACTACAGACATATTCAGATGTTCCTGATGTAGTTACTTAAAATGTAAAAGATCTATATTTAATGTAAAAACAGAAAAAAAAAAACTTAAAATGCACAAAAAATAAGTAATGTAGTGTTATCACATTTTAATATTTAGCTATGTTCAGTGCATGTATTTAAATGATAAAGACAAGCTTTCAGTCACTGTAGATCTACATTATGACAAAAATAAATCTCAAAGCTCATACTGACATCAAATAGAGCACACCTGTGCTTTGAAGTGCAAATACACGTGGGAAATGCAGTTCAAAGTTGTTGTTCTTTGGGTCCAAATACAAAGAAATATTCAAAAACTAAAGCAATAAAAATGATAATACATATCAGAAGTAACATAGAAAGACAAAAATATACAAATTAGCAATATTTAATATAAAATATGAATATAAATCTAATATATTTTTGTATATTTAGCCATATAAAATGTAATTAGAAGCTACAACACATAATATTACTATTGTTGTAGTAGTGGAAGTACTGTAGTAAAATTGACACCCACCTCCATTTATATTATAGTATATTCATGCAGTTTGCTTAATGTTATATTTGTTTTATTTGCAGATTTCTAATAATAATAGATAGCAAGTATTAGTGAATTTGAAGATCAACAAAAAAACACAATATAAACTGCAGATACGATGAGATATTCAGACATTTATTTTTAATGCTGTCGTTGAAAGGTGAAAAACGAGGTAAATGGAAAGACGCGGAAGCTCTCTGTGTAGTCAGTTTCCATGGCAACAGCAGGGTGTGAAAAGGGTTGTTGGCCTTCACCGTGCCTGTGGTGTATAACATTCATAATTGGCCAGGGTTAATGCGTCGGCGGTCGGCAATCACAACATCACACCACCACATCCATCAACCCCACATGTCACAATAATGCAGTTTGAAATGATGCTCAATTTATTTAGGTGGTGCGACACGGATTTCTTCCTCTATGTTCAAATTAAAGTGATTGATTGACAAGGAGAGTGCATCTCTCAGGATTCTGTTTGTTCCTTTGATTATGTGCTGTCATTAATTTCATCCAGACCCTCATGAGTCACATTTTTGTTTTAATTATCACTGTTATTTGTCCGCAAAAATGTGTTTGTTTTTTAGCATCCTGTGCATTTAAAGACAACTTGCCGTCAAGCTTGCAATAACATCCAATTTTCTCTTCTTTGTATTTCAGAAAGGTTAACAAGTGCTACAGGGGTCGATCTTGCCCGATAATTGTTCACTGCAGGCAAGTACAACTATTTGAACCTTGTGACAGTGGTTGACCCTGCTGAATTGGGACAGCGATTGTTTGTCGTGACCTGTGTGTTGGAGGGGAGAGGCTGTTTATTTTAAACCCGCTCAGTCCATTTCCTCTATCTGGGTCCACTGGAGCTGCTGTTTATTCCACTGGCTGTGTCTTTATGGAAATGTTGTGGCGAATAGACACTCAGCCAAAGACACTTCCATTTCTCATTTGGTTGAGTTAGTTAACTGGCCTTGATTGGTTTGTATTAAACACCAGGTATCTGTCTGACCACTTTTAATAGTCACATCCTGTTAAGTCATGCGTGGGGCCGGGCAGCCCGCTCTCCCTCTGAGGGAGCTGTACAGACTGAGTGTCTAGCAGTGGATTAATGAAGCAGTGGTGCTCAGGCCTGCACTCCTGTTTTATTGGCCTTGCCTTTATTAGAGAGATGTGCACGCCTTGTTTGCAATTAACATGCAGAGCCGTTGAATGGCCGGCGGGCACAAAGGGAGGCTTTTCATAAGACTATCTCTGGAGTAATGGAAAAGCAAGGCTCTCCAAAAGCTGTTCTCGAACCGCCCCTGGCCTCTCAACCTCTCCTCTGCTCCTGAGGTGCATTCATTTAAAAGCCTTTGTCCCCAGTGTGCCTCAGAAACCATTCCCCTCTCCCCAATCTCCGAGCTAGTCTCAAGACCACACATGCACTCGTGTGCAAAGGTTTAACATAGTCACATTTATTGGAGCATCGAATATTCAGATCTGTTCAGGTATTTTTATAAGAATATTAGGGATTATTATTGATTGTTGGCTATTTAAGTATTCTTTCTTCTCTGTAATATCAAGTTTTAAGCAGACGGAGCAATGTGTATCTGTATGGATAGACTAATTTGTGTTTAAATATACTCCACAGTCTCTCAGCAGTTGCAGATGTAAATGAGCAATTTGTTTCCTTATAAGAAAAACACTCTGAGATTAAAGCATCACTCAGCCTCCTTAATGATCTCCATCTCTCTCTCTCTCTCTCTCCCCCTCTCTCTCTCTGACTCACTGCAGTGATGGAGCTGGCAGGAGTGGGACTTACATTCTGATTGACATGGTCCTCAATAGGATGGCTAAAGGTAACGATCAATGGCTTCCCTTTCACTCTTTCTGCTTGCGTTGAAGTGTTGCCCTGGCAACGCTAAAGCCTCTCATTTTCCACAGAGGGTCTTGGGGATGCATTAGAGGGTGACTTTTTCTGAGGCCTGGCGAGGCAGCAAAGACAGAGGCAGACACGGAGGGAGCTGAAGGGAGTGGAGAGAGTGGAACAAAGAGAAAACAGAAAAGGAAAATGAAAAAGAAACCTGTGCCCGCATTAGTAATTATCTATTTAAGCTACCGTCACACCATATTAACCTGCAACATGAATTTAGATAGCACATGCATGGAAATGAAATGTTTAAGGGGAAAATATGTTGAATCAATATTTAATAGGAACAACAGGTTTATTTTATTTTATTTTATTATTGGATTATTCTTAACTAGGTTTGCACCCTTTCTTTAACCCTTTATATCGTCTTTTGTTTTTCCTATTTTACTCAAATATAAACTAAACTGCCCAAGAAATTGTTGGGCCCCTAATTTGCATTGTATCATGAAAAAAAACACAATCAGGTAATCTGCAATTGGTCACAAAGCACAGTAACTCTGTCATGGACTTCCACAAATTGAAATGCATATAAAACAACTGAGCAAGGAAAGCTTCCTGAACAGGATATTTGTGGGTGTATCATTACATTATGGTTTCAAGGTAGATTTGTTTCTAAATTGTAGGTTCCTGTGACATGGACAAACTCTTGTTTTTAGCTAAATCTCAAAGCAGGAGTTGTAGCTGAAGGATTTGTGTGAATAAACTGAAAAGGTATTTTTGTTAGCTGGATTACAAAATAACCAGAATAAAAGTTAGGTTTTCCCAGTTTTACATACAAACACATTTGGATGTGGACATCTATTGTTGCACAGGAGCTGGTTTCTTCCAAAGGCCACCTTACGTCACCTTTAAAAACCCTCCATAGCTTAGCCTGCCCTCTGCCCTTTGCCCTTTGACCTCTGCACTTTACCCTTACTCTCTGCATGCCGTCCTCCTAACCTGCTCTGACGGGCTGCGACCGCTGCCTCTGATGCTGATTCCCTTCACTGTCTGTAAAACAGTAATAAGACTGACCCATCCTGGTGGAGTTCATGTGGTTCAGTGACAAATGCGCTGTTGTCCGCGGTGATGAAAGGTGCCACCCGGTCTCTTTTTAACCTTTTGTTTCCTGCTGCAGAAGCGAATGTATAAAATGAACATAATCTCACTCTCCAAAGCTTTTTCCTTTGGTTGAAGAGCCTCTCTTCAGCTTTACTTTGGAATCTAGCCCTTCTGAGACATGAAAGTCTTGTTGGAGCACTGGAGTACTTTGAGTACTAAGTCCAGCTGCATTAAATCCCTCTTTTTTACTCTCTCTCACCCACGCACTTACATACATTTCTACTCTTGCTCTATCTCTTTTGCTTCCTTTCTCTGCCTCACTTTCAAAAAAACATCTTGAGAGTTCAGGGTCTCTCTCCGGGTTTCTCCGTCTGTCTCTGTCTGTTTTCTCAAATAAGCTGTGGTGTGCTGCATGACATCCATAAATCTGAAAGTAGAATAAGATTTCCAGATTAACATCACACACTTTGCAAAGCCAAAACAGACTTCACTCAACAGCAGCTGATCACTGTTGAAGGCGAGCAACTGTTGCATAGGTTAATCATCAGTATGGCTGCTGCAAAGGCTATAAATCATTTTAATTAGAGTTTGTTGATTCTCAGATACACACATACATGCACACATACTCAGATATTGTTGTATCAAAAAGCTCTTAGCATAGTTTATAGTTGAACATAATCTAAACCAATTTTTGAACAAGATTCTCACAGAGAAGCCAGTGCTTAGCTTTTTTGAATGCATTATTGCACATTTCCCAGACTCCAAAAATATCCTCTTGCATATTTTATCGAGAAACAGTCTGTGGCTCTCGTCCAAGTCTTTCGAGGGATGAATGTAATAATTTTCAATCGCTGTGCTGTTCCAAAGGGAGCCCAGTATAAAGAGAGATTGACAGATGTGAGCTGGATTACTCCGCTGCTTTGAACTCAGTCCAATTTTCGGTCTGTTGCAGGTGCTAAAGAGATTGATATTGCCGCTACCCTGGAGCACTTGAGAGACCAGAGAGCTGGCATGGTCCAGACAAAGGTAAGGTCCCCGTCTTTGAGTTAGAGAGGTGGGGGAGACAGGAGGAGGAGGAGGAGGAGGAGTAGAGGGGAGCAGAGAGGGAAGGAGGGAGGCAGGAGGGTTTGCAGTCATTCAAACAGACGATTGTCTACTTCATGTGCACAGGATCAGGGGAAATGATGTGGTAATTGATAACTGCTTCAGGATTAGAAAAACATTGTGTTTGAAGATAATAACTCACTGTTCCACGTTTATCACAAGACCCAGAGAGACTGACCAAGATCTTCTCATATAGAAATATTTTGTCTATGAAACTGCAGCATTTTAATTATCTATTTATGTCACTTAAACAAATGTTATAAACATACTTTATTAATCCTGTTACTAACATTGTTAAATGTACAATTTTTATGTAGCATGATGTAAATTGTAAAATGAATCAAAGGCAGAATTAAGTAGACGTGTAACTAGGGCTGGAACCAAGGTTTTTTTTTATTATTGATTCATCTTTCAGTTTAGAAAATATCCCATCTCAGTTTCTCAGTCCAATGTCATGTCTTCAGATCCCTTATTTTATCTGTCAGTTTACAACTATAAAAAATATATATAACAGAGAAAAGCTGCAAATCCTCACATTTGAGAAGCTAGAGCAAGCTAATGTTTGGTATATCTGCTGATAAACTGACTGAAACAGTTAATCAAATATGACATGTGTTGTTTAACATTGTTTATTTCCTGTTCATCTTCATACATTTCACTTTACCAATACTGTAGATTTCATTCTTCTGTCTAATCTGTGCTGCTGCTGAAATTCTTTAGTCTCAACAGTTTATATCTCAGCGGACCTTTCACCTCACAACATTTTTTGGAAATAGTTCAAGGCGTGTGCAAAGCGTTTCCTCTCATCTAGTAATGCAAATAATAGGCAGGATGTCTCTTTTGTTTCTCTCTTGTAATTGGAAGGAATAATAATAACAATAATAATAATAATAATAATAATAATAATAATAAACCTTATGCAGCAGTGGGGGATAATATTTATGGACGCTGCTTGCTAACAGACTCCAGTGCTCCTAGATGGTTCATTAATACTGCTTTTACAGCCCCCACTCTCTTCAGCACAAAAAAGCTTTTCAAGCACTCTCTCGTTTTCTTTTCTGACAAGTCTAAATGAAATTATATTGGAATATTGTTGATTCCACTTTGTGGCTTCATGCTGGGTCTACACAGAAATTAGATTGTAATGAGGTATGAAATTTAGAGTTAGGTTTCAAGGATTGGACAACCAATTATCTTTTTTTCCTCCTTCCTGATGTTGCCACTTTATTTTTGGATAGAGCTCGCAGGAAAAAAAAGAGAGAACATTTATTTCCCTTCTTTTTCTGGTTACTCCTTTTGACAGACATCAACATGCAGTAATTACAGCATTTGTGACCATTTTTCTTCCTCACTAACCTTCCCTCTCTGATCTGTCGAGCAGAGATTGATCTCCCCCCAGTGGTGTGAACGTGAACAGCACAGCATGCACAGAAACCTGGTTTTAAAGGCATCTTTTTTTAATACACACAACTTTAAACCCAACTTGGGATTAGATACAGGCACATATAACTGTGGCCTGGATATAGATGGATGTACTTATATATTTTCTGGCCCCATCACAACATCAGAACACATAAAAATAGAGAACCTAATCACTCCACATAATCTCCACTGCAAAGCGAACGGCACGGCCACCAGTGACTCCTCCATATTGATTCAGCCTATCCTCAGGCCAGACTATGGCAGGCTATGTGTTGACACATCTAAAGACTGCTCCCTCCAAACTCCTACGTACTTTTTCTCTGTGAGAGGACCCCGTGGCCTGCAGCCTGGGGAGAGGAGAGGAATATAAAAACACCAGGTCCATGGGGCAAACATCAATCAGCCCCTTTTGTGCTCCTCTGGGAAAACTATGAGTCGGATTCACAAACAAATGCTCACACACACACACTCACACAGCTGAGAGACAGCTTGACTCAAAAGCTTTATTTTAAGACACACCTGGCTGGATCGATGGCGGTCCCGGGTGCGCGTGCCCTCCCCGAGTTGAAAGCTCAGAGAGTGGTTCACCTTCACCTCCAGTTTGTGGCCAAGCACATCCTGGGTAGGGTTAGAAAGAGGGAGGCAGAGGAGGAGGAGGAGGAGGAGGAGGCAGCAGTTGCCAATCATTCTGAAATGGCATTACTGAGCTGTTACACTTGTACACACACTAAAACTTTCCTTCTTCCCTTCCGTCATTCCCTGTATCTTTTCCCACCACCTCCTCCTCCTCCTTCTACTCCTCCACTTCAGGAGCAGTTTGAGTTTGCGCTGACAGCCGTGGCAGAGGAGGTGAACGCCATCCTGAAAGCGCTTCCTCAGTAAAGGCATCGCATCCCCCACCTTCTTTTCGCTCGCTGAGCACCAGTTTCCTCTGCCCACTCAAGATTGACATCTCTCTCTGCCCTTCCTTCTCCTCGCTCTGTTTCTCTTTTCTGTCTCTGCCTCCTCTTCACCTCTATATATACTGTATACTTATGAATGTCGTGCCAGATATCTCACCTGGATCCATATTTCGCAAAGATTTTGCCTCAGAGTGCGACTGTTGATCTGGGCTATGTGTCGTTTTAGCGATTTAGGAGTGTGCGCACCAGTGGGGCCTGATCTGATCTGATGTGGGACCTTAGATCAGCCCTCCTACTGTGAGACTTTTGTGTCAATATGAACCCTGGTCCTCTATAACTGTGATGTTGTTCCTGAACATACCGTTTTAGTGCCACTGACAAGCTGTTTACGTGATGTCAAGTGAAGATTTTTGTTCCAAAATCAGCTATCAAAAAACGGATACAGACGCTAAATTTAAAAGAAACTATAGTAAGGCTGCAACTGATGATTATTTCAGTTATCGATTAATATGCTGATTATTTTCTTTGATTAATCATTTAGTCTGTGAAATGTAAAAAAAGGCTGTTTTTTATAACTAACAGTCTAAAATCTTAAAATATTCACTTTACTATCATATATGACAAAGAAAAACAGCAAATTGATATATTGAGAAGCTCAAACCAGAGAATATTTGGCATTTTTGCTTGAAAATGACAGAAACTATTCATCAATCATCAAAATCATTGCGAATAAGTTTTTGCCAATCGACTAGTCCTTGCAGCTCTCAACTGTAGTACTTTTAGAACAATAATATGTAAAGTAAATGAAGTTCTTGCCTGTAAAAAACATTGTACAGATTATATCCCCTAAATGAATTAATGTATTGGATAGCGTTTTGGAAATAAAACTCCTCACATGTTTCTTCTCCTCTGTGATCTGAATCAAACACTATATACTCAGCATCACATGTTGAAGTGTTTGTGTTTGTATTGTTGTATTTTGGGTCCAGACATCTCACTCCTGTATTAAACCGCAGATGCTTGGACTCTTAAAAAGCCTCACAAATCATGATTATTGCAACATATCAGGTGTTTTTTATTCCTCATTGCATTGATTTTACTCCATGAATTGTTTGTTACATAAACATATCTGTTAATATTAAATGTAATAGAAATATACCAACTGAGATAGTTCCTATATCGATAGTAACAATATGATATATTTAAGCAGAACTTATATTGGGATTGTTGCTAAATTTGTCCCTCCATCACTGGTATATTGTGATATTTTGTGACAGATTATTCCCTCTATGTAGAGACAATGAATGACTATAAATCCCTATATAGTGCTATCTGAAATGTATACTGAGAGCCTCAATGAGAACTATATATTTTGTGTGAAAAGTAACATTCAGGTTGATAATAAATCAGAACAGATTATACTGCTTTGCTGTCTGGTGTTTAATGTTGTTTCTGACACACACACACATACACACACACACACACACACACACACACACACACACACAGACACACACAAACAGGAGGCTGCTCTTATAGAGAATGGCATTTGATTGAATGGTAGCCTTAGTAAAGTCACAAAGAAAAGATGTATCATGCTCCCTGAGGGTTTGTGCCTGGGAGAGACTCGCAGGTTTGTACAGATGAAATGTTTGGTTCACCAGCTCTGTCAGAGGAGAAAGTGGCTGGGATTTAAAATGAAATCAGTCATGTATTTCAGCCACTGAGGTCCTCTCGCAATATTACATAGCGGAGGAGGCTCAGTCGCTCTAAAAGTCCAATTTGATCAATATCTACTGAAGGATGTAACTTTTAACTTACTGGTGTCGGACAGTAATTGCTTATTTTATTGTTTTTCCTCATTTTAGCTTTGTTCTATCCGTTGCCTGATATTTTATTTTTTGGTCTGCAACTTTTTATGCAGCTGTCTAGACCAAACAAGGTTTGTGGCCTCGATGGAACTTACAAGGACAACATTTTTAAAAATAGCTTAATGCTAGTTGATAATTACATGTGTATAACTGGGAATTTGCATTTGTTTTAATCTTTTTGTGTTGTTTTGTGGTGATTCACCAGTTTTTATGTGGAATAAACTGGTTTTCACCCCTCAAAATAACATGGTGACAGTCAACATCTTAAAATGAGGCTTTCAACAATGATTGGAAATGTTAATGCCAAAAATAATGTTACATTTTTAATCTCTTGCCCACTTAAATCAATTAAATGTACTTTATTTCACCAGGATAACATGCTCAGTATTAATACTCGGGTCAGGGAGATGGTTTAGGTTGTTATCATGTGACTTCAGTATGTTGAGTTGAGTTGAATGTTGAATAAACATTAATTGTATCTGTCTAAATCTATTAATAATAATAATTCTAAATCTGAGTGAAGTAAGTCATTTGTGCTTATCTTCTTTGTGACTGAAAACAGGTTCATCAAGACAGACAATAATAGATTTTTTTTAGAAGTTTACAGTTATGGTATAACAAGTAAACACATGGAAAGTTTGGTATGTGTATGTTACCCTTTTGACTAAGTCTCTCTTGTAAAATAGATCATGTATCTCAAGAGAATCCCTCATTAAATAATGGGTAAATAAACCTGAAAGTACCACTTTCTAATAAGGCACCCTTTATAAAAGGTTTATACGTTAAACTGTTGGCTCTATTGATAGTTAATAAACTTAACAAAACTTAATAAACTCACTTATTAATGCTTCATGGATGAGTTATAAGCCATTAAGACATGAACATTGCCTTTGACTTATGTTTATTCTCCTGTGTGACACTTGCTTTCAAGGACTACAAACATTAGTAGCTCATTAATAAAAAGTAATGGGTCTTACATTCTAATAAGCAATCAAGTCCTCAATAATAAATGTCCATATGCCATTAAGAGCAAGTACAATGCCAAAAAGGGATAAACACCAGTGTTTCAGAACCTGGATATCTAAATATTGTTCTTATTAATGGCTTAATAAATCATGTATACAACTTCAAAACCGGTTGCAAACAGGGCTTTCTTAAAAAGTGGTACCAAAATAAATCAGAATCAGAATCAGAATCAGAAATACTTTAATAATCCCAGGGAGAAATTATTTAAATTATTTAAATTAAATATTGGAATGAAACTAAAAATGTCTGTGCCCACTGTACATCAGCTGATACTATGTATTGGCCACAACCATGAATATTATTTGCCATCAAAAAACTGTAAAATTGGATGACTTTCAAACAGAATATTACAATGATTCTGTTAGCAGAGAACAGAGGAGTGCAAACGCATAGCATGTATAGAGAATAGAGAATATATAATTTCCTACCTTTCGACAATGTGTGTGTGCTTCATGCGTGAACTCAAATTCATGTGTGCGTGCTGCCCGTTGACATGTCCCTCCCTCCCGTGACAGTTCTAATAGCTAGGAATGAGGCTTCATGCACTTCCTGAGGCCTCATTTGCATATGATTTGCTGATGAGCTGCCACCACTAACCAGCAACACCAAACCAAAGCCCTATTAATATTCTCCCATTCAGGTTGTAAAGCACACAAACCTAATCAGCTTAGAAATTACTGTATGGAAACCATAATTACGCATGTTTAATTGCTTATCATCTGATGGGTACAAGTTTATTAGAAAATGTATTCATGGTAATTGCTTCCTGAGGTATCTGGTGTGCTACAATACCATGTGATATCCTGTCAGCTCCCATTTGGGAGGATTAATGCGCTGTGAAAAAGTCACAAAATTAGATACTGTGTATTGACTCTTTGGATGCTTGGTTTAACTGAAAGTGATTTTTAATTTAGGGATTTCTAAATTACTGCTTAAGCTCGGATAAGTCTTTGGAGTCAGATCCATCAAAATCAGCATATCTCGCTGTTGTTAAGGAGTGCTGGCATATCACAGGGATATAAATGACTGTAAAGCAGGCAAGTGCCTGTGTAATCTTGATGCCACCAGAAAATACTCGCAGAACCTGCCTGGCATCATGGAGACTAAATTTCTAGCACCGTGTAGAAAAGCTGTAAAAATCTGTGGAAACACAGGAGTAACACAAAAGTAAAAAGTCACATGCATGAAATGAGGAAACACATCTTATAAGAGAGAGTTTTTGAAGTAAAGCCATCTCAAAGCCCATGAATCATTCAGTCCTGAAACAAGCAGATTAAAACACACAGTGCAGGTTCCTCAGAGGGGCCTCCACACCGCCAAGAACGTCGAGTGGGCCTTTTCAGCCATGGACCTCAGTGAGTCTTACAGCTCCTGCCCACTCTTTGATGATCTCTCTATGGTTTATTGTAATCACTGTTGGCTCTCAGTCCTTCTGACACACTTGTAAATTCATGCGGTCTTGAAAGGAAATGCATCAACCAGCCAGAAGTTCCTCTATGGATAACTCTTTCCTTCATTAGAGCAGTGCTTCCCAACCAGGGGTACTTGTACCCCAGGGCTGCACTTATCAGTTAGTATGTGGAAAGATAATGAAGCAGCTCAGCTAATTATATAAAAAAATAGAAGTTATGATTTGATAAGATAATGCATTCACATGTTCAGAGACTGTGTTGATTGTGTTCAAGGGGTAAATGAATATACAAAAATATTACAAAATGGTACAATGCTCTTTAGGATACCAACTTGAGTCAGTTTTAACACATTTAAATGAGCCATATTCCAAAATTGTCTGCCCAGCAGTATAACGCAGTCAGATGCTGGTGAAGCACAGGAAAATAATCATAAATCCCAAACAAAAAATGTCAGCTCTGGAGAAACTTACCTGATGTTTATTTAGCTTTACGCTAAATGCATTGTTGTTTTCACTTGCAGAAAATGCTTAAAGCAACTATAATGAATATTATTGTATAACAATGGCTCGCATAACTACTTACGGTAAAATGGTCGCTCGTAGTGATGAACTCACAGAGAGTTATCACCTGACTGCGGTTTCCATCAGTATGATGCAGCTGTTTAGCATCTTTCAGCTCATTGATTTGGTTTTATGACCCTCATCTTTGTTGTGTGTCTCACTTTAATAACCATTGTTTCCAGGTGCGGCTATTTTCAGTGAATTAGCTCTAAAAACTGACTGCTCACTACCTGCTAAGCACTAGACCACAGACAGACAAGTTAGCGACTAGCTGGTGGATATAGTGGAGCATTTAGCAGCCAAAGAGTCTGGTGTTTTTCTCAAGAGTTGGTGTAGACCAAAACTACTGTAGAGCTAAAAGTTAATATATTGCGCCAGAAACACAATTCCCAATAAATGCTAGTCTTGCCAAAGGTGATATGTCAGTGCAACAAATAGTTATTGCAGTTTAAATGAATATCAGTTTAGTTTAGTTATGTTTGGTAATTTTTTTTTACCTTTACACAATAAGAGTAACAACAAGTGCTGCAGTTGAGAGTGCAAATAAGTCCAAATGGATATGTAGTAGTAGTGGTACAACAGCAACCTATTGGGGGGAAAAGAGTCTAAACATCCACAATGGATATGTTCATAATGGTC